TTGCTTGAGGATGTAAATGCAGTCTTTTTAACCAATAATGCAGGAAACTGTTCTGCATGTGAAACATTGTAAAAATCAAGTTTATTTGCTACTTTTCATGATGCTGGAGTTGGACGGACAGTTTTGCCAGTATTCCCAGTTTCAACGCCATTGTTAGGTTATTGCTAATTGTCCACTAAGTTGTTCCTAGGCTATTGCTTACTGCCTAGACGTAAATTTTTTTAAATAATTTTTTTCCACAGATGATAAAATCATCTTTTCACAGAAGATAGGCCTACGTTCTTTTTTATCATCCGCCATGCAAAAAACATGTCCATTCACTTAGAAATGTAGTAGGTATGATTTGATTTATCATTTTTGTCTGTATTACTGTAGCAGGATGAGTTGCACACCAGAGTTTTGGGATGGGAGCAATAATAATAGTGAAATTGACTTTTTTCTTATTATATCTCAGGGAAGTTGCTAGTGAAGTGTTTGGGACTGGGTGTTTGTGTGATGCCATCAGCATTGCAGCTCTACATTCATTATTAAAAAATGTAGGCCTAAATGTAATATTTATTTATTTGAATGGCATATAGAATTTCTATCCATTTGGATTACATGGTTTATGCCAGTCATGCAGTAGTACTAATAAACCAAATGTTTTAAAATACACAACGGGGTTTATATATTTATCATCAATTAATCCAATTTGTTTCAATCTGATATTTTATATGCAATTCAAATACCGGTACATGTCTGAAATTTATGCTTAAATATTTTTTGAGTTCAGAATGATTCAGAATGATTCAGAAATGTCACATGGCATTTACAGCTCCTTTGATTGGCTCAAAAAATTATGTGGTTCTCATAAGCAAAGAATTGTAGGTTTCTAATCACAAACCCCTCATGGTCTTGCATCAGCCTGGCAACTGGCATTGAGATGCTAACTGACAGCTTTCTCCAGTTATCATGGTTCAATCTACATAAAAATCACAACGGCTGAAACAAATCACACAGAGTTTTTCTTATTTTGGCTCTTACATGGTACGGGCCCTGAGGTGCAAATTTATGCAACACAAGACGAGGGAAGATGTCTGGTTGTAAAGATCACATTTTGATAATGAAGAGCAGTTAGAAAAGATATTCTTGAATAGTGGGATCTGTAATCAGCTCCCAGGTCTGCTGCAGACATTTCATTACAGAAAGAGACCTGAGGAACAGAGAGTCCGATGCCACATCTGAATGAGTGCAAATTCAATGTCAAAATAGATTTGCTAAATTGGATTTGTACGGACCAAAGCTTGCAGAGAGGGGAATGAAGGAGCAGGGGAGGGTGAAGTTTAAGGGCCCTTCAGCTTTGACATGCACAGAAGAGAATATTGGTTAATACGGAAAATTAGCGAAATGTAAAATTGTGAGGCTGAGACAATGAAAATGCCATTCCAACGTGGTACGGGCCTAGCATGTTGTATCAAAATGGAGATGAGCAGATGTTGTTTTTGTGACTGATATATGATCAGTTTTGTAGACGTATCCCAAATCAGCATAAAATTGCACTCGGAGCATGCAGCTGTGTTTTAACTGACTCTTCAAGGTCATGCAAAGAATTTCTAACTTTGTGCATCTTTGTTGTTACAGCAGCTGTGCTGTCATTTATGTTGGAAGTTACATTGTGGTGCATCCCATTGGAAAGAAAAATCAAATGAGATCTCTGTAATGTCCCAATTCTTTCTCTTGACAGCAATGTGATTAAATAGAGAGCAAATGGAGACTTTTGCTTAAAAAATGCAGTAATCAATGTGCCTCCTCTGGAGTTTCAGAATAGATCAATGTCACTAACTGTGCTGAGATTTGCCAAGATACTGAAGTCTGCATAATATATCTAAGTCTATATATATATTTAAATGTGACTAGAACATCTATCTAGCTATCTATCTGTCTATCTGTCTATCTGTCTGTCTGTCTGTCTAGGCATCAGTAATATTTCAATTTTTTTCTACTTTTTGAAATTGATCAAAAGTGACAGTAAAGACTTTTAAATTGTTCCAAAAAAATAATCATATTTAATATATTTCTATATATTTTTGAGCAGCAAGTCAGCATATTAGAATTATTTCTGAAGGATCATGTGACAATGAAGACTGGAATAAATGCTATTGAAAATTCAGCTTTACCTTCACAGGAATAAATTGCATATTGAAATCGATTAAACCTTAGGATAATGTCAATATTCAATGTCATTTTTTGGGGGGGAACAGATGTTAGTATATTGTACCTTTTAACATTTCCAGGAAGAAAGACTAATAACACAATTGACTACTGGCTCTCTCTGGACATTGATAGAAAAAAGAGCTCATTTGGCAACTGGCAGACCATGCTGGCCTTGGAAAGAGTGGAAGTTTTGACAGGAGCTTTGCTATGTATTGCAATTGATCCCTGGAGCTCTTTCATCAGAGAGACAGTCACTGTTTGTTGGAAATCAGTTCTGAACCTCTGGGTCTGTTTTATTATGTCTCTATTATTCCATTGTATTTTAAAGTAGTATAGGTACACATAAGTGGTACAAGGACAATAGATATATTTCTCTCTCTAGCTCAAATAGCCTACAGTATTTCAGAGACATTATATTGAAGTAGAAGGTCTCCAAATATACTCCAAAGTGTGTGTGTTTTCCTATAGTAAAGGCCTGAGAGTCCACACCACAACTATAACGATAAAGGCACAGAGGAACAATATTGTTGGAATCATTTTCAGAACAATTTTTCCTGCTGATGAATAATAAAAACATCAGAATCCATCCTGCTTTAAAGAGCAGGAGCTTTTAAAGTGGCAGACAACATAACTGCAGCACATGCCTAATATTAACACAATGGTATCGCGCTTTGGACGCTAATATAATTATCCTTTTTTTGTGTGAATGGGCCTTAAGTGGCTTTCTGTTCTTCTGCATGTTTGCTTTTCCAACCCACTGTCATTACAAATCCATAATAATTCATAGAACATAATGACATTGTGTATAATGAAGTTAAGACCTGGTTTTTTGATCAAGACTTCCTATTACAGTGATGGTTAGGTTACTTTTTTCATAAAATAGTGTGACCACCCTACATATAGTTTGGGTCACAAATTAAATTATTTACATATATTTCATTTTTTTATTTACATGTATGTGTATATATAAGTTTTATTTTAATTACTTAAATATATGATGAGTATGCACCGAATAGTTCAGCTGCATTTTCTGAATTCTGGGTGGCAGTTGAGAGAGTAGAGTCACCGTGACGATTGCAGTGCATCCTCAGACAACAAAGAGGACCGTTAAGGAAACAACTAACTCTTGTCTCTCTCTCTCATTTAATCTCAAGGTTAGTTAAATTAATTGAACTGTAGTTTTACCAAACTGTAATTTACATATTTTAATGTCCAAATAATTTGTTTCAATTGATTATTTATTTTATTAATAATTTTAAGACACTTACAGTATGCCATAGAAAAGTTTAATCATGTATCACTTGCCTGAAATACTCACTTCAGTTGTTTGATACTTACCTGAATTCAGGCCAGTTGTGAGTAAGAATTAGGGCATTTCTGTACATTTGGTTAAGGTTGCTATCATTATTTCTTTATTGTGATTTGATTTAAAGGGATGGTTCACCCAAAAATGAAAATTCTGTCATTAATTACTCACCCTCATGTCGTTCTAAACCCATAAAGGCCCGTTCACACCAAGCACGATAACTATAAAGATAACGATAAAGATATAGTTCTAAAAATCGTTCTCAATATTAAAGAATAGCATAGTTCACATCACAACTATAACGATAATGATACAGAGGAACGATTCGTTGTGATCACTTTCAAAACGATTTTTCTCCAGTGGTGCCATTTTGGAGAATATCCACTGAACGTAAACAGCGTATGCCATTTTCAGCTGCGTCATGCGGATATATGTTGTTTTCGTTCAAATCAAAGCGTAAACAACGTAGATAACTTATCCGCATGATGCATTGTTGAATAAAGTCGTTTTATTTGTTTTCTTTGCGTACAAAAAGTATTCTCGTAGCTTCGTAAAATTACGGTTGAACCCCTGATGTCACATGGATTATTTTACCGATCTCCTTGCTACGTTTCTGCACCTTGATCGTGGTAATTACATTGCTGTCTATGGAGGGTCAGAGAGCTCTCGGAATTTATCACAAATATCTTAATTTGTGTTACGAAGATGAACGGAGGTCTTACGGGTTTAGAACGACATGAGGGTGAGTAATTAATGACAGAATTTTCATTTTTGGGTAAACTAACCCTTTAAGTATCTATACAGTGTGTATTACTTTTTTCCAACATGTTTATGAATCATTTTGTGATTCAAAGTGTCTTACTGACTCTGAAATACATATGTGTATTAAAAGACAACAAAGAGGACCGTTAAGGAAACAACTAACTCTTGTCTCTCTCTCTCTCTCTCTCATTTAATCTCAAGTTTATTACTGCTTACAGTCTTCCCGACCTGTAACAATTTGCCATGTATTACTTCTTTCAACTTTTTATGAAACCATATTGACACAATATATGCATTTGTAACAAAATATAGATGATATAAAACATATATTTTTATAGATTATACTTTCTTTAAACAAATTCTTAGCCCTATTAGAAATATTTTTTGTAGTATTTATTATAGTATATTAAATTATATTCAGAGTGTTCCTAAAAGGATACAGACAGTACAAGACTGTACTTTTGGACAAGTTCCCACAGTCTGTTTGTAGAAAACACACCCTAAAAGTGAGACAAACAAAAAGCTGTACAGAATATAAATGATCTGTTGCCATGTCAGCAGAAAGCCATGTGAAAGACTCTCACATGAGGGACCTTGATAGAAATTTACTTTTGGGGGACCTGAATACTTGTTTTTCTAGTCCTGAATGGTATTATTTGTAACCTCAGTTTAAGCGTCAGTATCTAGTAGCAGTTTCTGCATAGATATAGTCAGTATAGCCCGGTGCAGTAACATTTTTCATTCTCTAAAAAAGAGTTATGCTGAGGAGGCTGGAGGTTCAAGCAGTGATTTGGATTTAACATGATCTCTACCGAGGTTCAGCTAAACCAGCAAAACCAGGTATGTGACAGATATGGTTTCCAGGTGGTTCCACAACTAGCTTTGGTTAACTATGCCTATCAGCAGTGTATGTTTGATATGTTTGCATATGTATTTTCAAACAGCTGTCATTACTCATTTCTAATCCATTGGTGTATCTCTAGTCGGTTAGAATGTGGATCTACGTTGTGCGCTGCCTATCAGAAAATGACATTACAGAAGTAGGTCTCTGCAAATGAGTTGGCATTGTGTCAGCCCAGCAGCAGCAGCTAGATAACAGAAACTGATCCTTATTGCCACGAAAATTAGAACAGTATAAATTCAGAATAAAAATTCAATTCAGAAATAATTTAATAATGTGAGATTATTGTGAGCAAGCTTTTTGTAGCATCTTCACAAGCATTATTGCAAGTATTTTGCCGCATTTACTGATCTGTAATACAATTACGTAATGGTTAACTATGCCTATCAGCAGTGCATGTTTGATATGTTTGCATATGTATTTTCAAACAGCTGTCATTACTCATTTCTAATCCATTGGTGTATGTCTAGTCGGTTAGAATGTGGGTCTACGTTGTGCGCTGCCTATCAGAAAATGACATTACAGAAGTAGGTCTCTGCAAATGAGTTGGCATTGTGTCAGCCCAGCAGCAGCAGCTAGATAACAGAAACTGATCCTTATTGCCACGAAAATTAGAACAGTATAAATTCAGAATAAAAATTCAATTCAGAAATAATTTAATAATGTGAGATTATTGTGAGCAAGCTTTTTGTATCATCTTCACAAGCATTATCGCAAGTATTTTGCCGCATTTACTGATCTGTAATACAATTACGTAAAAAATATTCACTAATTTCCAAACACTGTAAAGAAACGTTGCATGTTCCCATGCTTTCACGGTTACAGCTTTTTTATATTTATACAAATTCTTTCAAATCATTTCACTATTTGTCCCTGGGGTCCATTGATAATGTTAATGCTTCTTCCACCCAAACAGTTGACCAGTTTTGAAAAGTGATAGTACTAGTAGTGACAAACTGATAGTGATATTGGATTATATTCCTGCTTACAGCTTTGTTTATTTAAAGTAAACAGTTTCTGTTGTCAGATTGTTTTCATTTTGACAAAATGTTATCTAAAATACATTTTCATTTAAGAAAGTGTGTCATTTTAGCAGGGCTCGCAAAATCGCTAGCCCGACGTTCCGGGGCTATTGTGTTTTCCAGTCAGGCTGTATCACCCTGCCCGACGGACTATACCGCGGTCTTCAATTTAGTTGTATCAAATTTAAGGCCGTAAAAAGTTGTAAATATGTTAAATGGTAGCTATAAGAAAAGTCTTAATTATAGTAAGTTAAAGAGGTCTTACAGTTGGGGACGGAAAGACAAGAATCGCAATACAGCTGGATTAAACTTCAAAAGGCAGTGATGCCATTGAATAAAAATGTGCGCTGCACGTTTCAAAGTCAAAACGCGGCGCGGATGTTTTTTTTATGTAAATGTGTCTCTAAAGGGAATCGACTGTCTTCAGAATAGTTTTTTTGCAAGCGGCAACCTTCCAGTCTCTCTCGTGTGAAACCAACACGGAAGTGACTAAAACTGCAATTCATCAACTGGCCGCTAGAGGCTGGCTCCAAAAGGGAGTCAATCCCATAGAC